CCTTCCCCCGCGGGCATCAGGCCGGCAGCACGCTCTGAAGGCTCCCCCACCCCCCACCCCCGGCCTCTTCCTGCTCCTCCTCTTTATCCCCTACATCTTTTACTTCTAACCACATTTGGCATCTGTCTCCCGAAAGACCTGAACTGATACAAGGCTCTTGGCTATTCTTGGTTCCTTGCTCTACTAAATTTAAGAAATTAAGAATCATTTAAGTTCCAAAATGGAAAAAAAAAAAAAAACAACAGGATTTTGACAGGAATTGCACTAGATTAATTTATCAGTTGCAGAACTGATGTCTATAACAACAAGTCTCTCACCTTATGAACATGCTACCTTCCTCCACTTGTTTCAGTTTTCTTTAGCTTCTTTCAACATAACCTTGTGATTTTCTCCAAAAGAGGCTTGTGTATTTTTGTGAGATTTTTAAGATATATTTTTAGTAACAGTTGAAATTGTACACTTTCAAAATTCCATTTTTCTAATCCTGTTCCTAGGAACAGGATTTAAACAATATTTAAATATTCAGAAATATTTAAATGTTGACCCCATTATAACTAGCAATTTTGTTAAACTCAATTCTAATATCTCTTTATAGATGGCTTTTGGATTTCCATGTAAACAACTGTACAATCTTACAATAATGACAATTTTATTTCTCCCTTAAGCCTTTTATTCATTTTCCTTGCCTTACTGTGCTGACCCTTTTAGTACAATGTTTGAAGGGAGAGTAGACATTTTTGACTTGTTCTTGATTTTAAAGAGAATACTTCTACTATTTCATTATGTGGGAATGTTTATGGTGGGATTTTTGTAGCTACTTCTTATCAGTTCAAGGAAATTATCTTCTGGAATTAATATTGTGAAAAGATGTTCAATTTTATTAAAAGCTTCTCTGTATCTACTGATATACTCACATTTTTTTTAAACATCAATCTGTTTGTGAGAAAATTACAGTGATTTAGAATGAAATAACTGAATTCTATCAAACACTTTTCCTGCATTGGTTTTTATCTTAACTTTCCCCACTTTAATCTAGTTTATATGACAAACTTTACTGATATTCAAATGCCAGACCCACCTTGTGTTGCTGGAATAAACCAACTTGGTTATGATACTATTTACTTTCCACTGAATTGGTTGTTGATTGTCTTTAGTGCTACATACATATGTGGTTGACCAAAGAGTTCCTTTAGTTTTTAAGTAAAAATTAAGAGACATTTTTCATTTTCACCAAGAATTGTATTGAACAACATAATCACCATTGTGTTCCACTATCTTCTGCCATTTTTCAGGCAACTTCATAATTTCATCTTCCCCAAACTTTTTATCTTTTTGAACTGTGCCAGGTGCCTTTTAGAGTCTTCCAGGGAACTGAATTTTTTTTCATTAAGATAATTTTGTAAAGACAAAAATAAATGAATGAATAAAGGAATCAGCCAAGGTTTCCAGTCAAGCTGTAACAGTTTCAGCTTGGTCATCCAAGAAACATGCAGTCTTGCATTATCCTGATGGAAGATTATGTTTTCTATTGGCTAATTTCAGACATTTTACATTGAGTGCTGCTTTCAGTCAGTCTAACTGGGAGGCATACTTGTTGGAATTAATCATTTGGTTTTCCTCAAGGAGCTCATGATAGAGGACTCCCTTCCACTCTCACAATATACACAACATCAGCCTTTCTTCTGATCAAAGGCTTGAAGGCTATAAATTACCCCATGTGTTAACAATACTCTTCAAATTTAATAATTTCATTAGTGAATTACATATTTTCTATTTTGGTATCTTCAATCTCCCATTGAACTATATGCAGATTTTCTTTGTAACTATCTTTTCATTACTGATTTCTGGTTTAATTGTATCATCACTAGAAACTACTCTTCTATTTCAATCCTCTGAATTTTGTAGACACAGCTTTATGGCCCAGTATATGGTCACTAAGAAATGTTACAAGCTGGAAAATAATGTATCCTGCACTTGATGAGTGGTGTGGTGTTTTGTGGATTGTCCTGTTCTATTTTTTAGTATCCTTATTGATCTTGTTTACTGCCTACCAATTAGGTGTTAAAATATCCAAATATAATTCTCAATGTCTCTGTTCCCCTTATACGTCTTTATATTATTCCTGTGAGTTAAAAGTTTTATCAACTTCCCTTTTTCTTTACCTCAGGAAAAAAAGCCTTCTTACTTTAGTATCTTTTGTCTGACATTACTATATTTTTGGTTCACATTTAATGAAGGATCTTTGTCCATTCCTTTACTATGAAAAACTGTAATTTTTTTTTCTATTTAGTGGTTATTCTAGAAGCTGCAAGCTGCAATCTCTTTATCAATGTCTGATGTTGATACTTTTCTTCCTCCAGACAAGGTGTGGCCCTTACAACACCCATTTCCTTTACCACCACTCCTGACTCATGCTATTCCTCCCGTGTATTCTTAGTCTGCATGAGGCTGGATGTAAACATGTGTATGTCTGTCGGGGGTTCATTTCTTCCTGCAATTTCTCACCCCCAGAGACTTGTCTTTCTGTGCGTCATATTACCTTAGATTGTATTTTGAACACTGCATTTAAGAAACCACTTTTAATAATAACTTGAGGCCTATGAATGATACTGTTGTCCTTCAGAGAGGATTTCTGATTTGGTAGGGACATAGTCTGCTATTACTGGAAGTCCCCCTAAATGACTGCGGATAGAGATCAAATTACTGATTCAAATCTTGTAACAATTACAGTACTTGTCATTTTTTTTGTTTTTGAGATGTTGTAACCTGCCCTTTGTCTCAATTTTCAAATTTATTGACACAAACTGTTAACATCCTCTAAAATAGTCTTTCTGTTCCTTCCTAAAAAGAAACAGTGTCAGACTTTATTTTTTTTTGGGGCTCCAAAATCACTGCAGATGGTGACTGCAGCCATGAAATTAAAAGACGCTTACTCCTCAGAAGAAAAATTATGACCAACCTAGACAGCATATTAAAAAGCAGAGACATTACTTTGCCAACAAAGGTCCATCTAAGACAAGGCTATGGTTTTTCCAGTGGTCATGTATGGATGTGCGAGTTGGACTGTGAAGAAAGCTGAGTGCAGAAGAATGGATGCTTTTGAACTGTGGTGTTGGAGAAGACTCTTGAGAGTCCCTTGGACCGCAAGGAGATCCAACCAGTCCATCCTGAAGATCAGTCCTGGGTGTTTATTGGAAGGACTGATGCTGAAGCTGAAGCTCCAATACTTTGGCCTCCTGATGTGAAGAGCTGACTTATTGGAAAAGACTCTGATGATGGGAGGGATTGGGGGCAGGAGGAGAAGGGGACAACAGAGGATGAGATGGCTGGATGGCATCATCGACTCTATGGGCATGAGTCTGAGTAGATTCCGTAAGTTGGTGCTGGACAGGGAGGCCTGGCGTGCTGTGATTCATGGGGTCGCAGAATCGGACACGACTGAGCGACTGACCTGAACTGGACACTGTTTGAGCTCTTGGCTCTTCTCAGTCCTTTGGCTTTGCTGTTTCTGCTCTTATGTTTCATTAATTTCTCCTCAGTTTCTCTCCTGTGTGCTTTGAGTTTATTCTTTTTCTAACAATTTGTATGTCAGTACTGTTTAATTGTGAATATGACTTCTTATGTGAATTGTTATTTAGAAATTTAAATGTTTTTCTAAATTTGGAAGGTTTCTAGTTATCCTTTTTGTTGTTGACTTCTGACAACTGCATTATAATAAAGAAAATGAGCTCCATATTTTCTTTGAAATTTGATGTCTTCTCATAGCATATGATCAGTTTTCATAAACGTTCCTTTTGTATTCAAGATATGCCTTCTCATTTTGTCTGTAGAGTTCTATCTATGTCCATGAGATCAAGTTTGAACTTGTGCTTAGATTCTCTATCTTTAACTCATGTTTTTAACTGACTGGTCTCCCACATATATTAAAATATCTACTAAGATGGTGATTGTTGATTTCTCTTTGTAGTTCTTGAAATTTCTGCTTTATGTTTTTGAAGTTATCTTACAAAGGACATATAAACTTAACCTTCTATCATTAGCGAGTGATCTTCATTAAAAAAAGAAAATATTACCACAGTTATAAAGTCTGCTTACACAGCTCCAGGAGCTCCCTTCAATCTTTCTTGTCTTTTTCATCTTAGGCTCTCAACGTTTCTGTATCTTTGTTTTAGATGCTTTTTAATTGGAGTAAAACCACTTTACACTGTTGTGTCAGTTCCTGCTCTGCAACAAAGTGAATCAGCTATTTGCTGTGTGCTGTGCTTAGTCGCTTAGCCGTGTCCGACTCTTGGAGACCCCATGGACTGTAGCCCGCCAGGCTCCTCTGTCCATGGAATTCTCCAGGCAAGAATACTGGAGTGGGTTGCTATGCCCTCCTCCAGAGGATTTTCCCCACCCAGGGATCAAACCCAAGTCTCCCACACGGCAGGCAGATTCTTTACCAGCTGAGTCACCAGGGCAGCCCAGAATCAGCTACATGTATACATATATCCCTCCCTCCTGAGCCTCCCACCCACCTCCCTAGTAGCATTTCTTTAAAAAGGATAGAGCAGACTGCTAAAAATCTAGTCTAATGACCCAAGATTTTTCACACAAGAGTGCAACACATTTATAACTGGATTTATCTCTACCATATTATTTTGTGCTCATTTGTCCTATCCACTTTTTCTCCTGTGTTTGTTCATATTTTGTTTTCCCCTTTGTTTCAACATATACTACTGGAGCATATATTAATTTTAGAGGCAGCTCTTTAAATTGTGAAGTTGAAACTTAAGTCTAAAGTTGGCCCGTCTTTACTTTCCTTCAGACTAATACAAGCTATTTAGATTGATGCAATTTCAATTACCTACCTTACATGTACTAGGCTTATAGACAATGGGATAACTAGAATGTTTATATTGTTTTTTTCTCCCATAAATTAGACATTGTTTTACACTATCAATATTTCTCTAGATTTACTCAAGGACTTACTATTTTCTCTACTCATTATTACTTCTTACATTTCAGACTTTGGGATAACATTCTTCCTCCATGAAGTCCATCTTTTAGAAGTTCATTTACTGAGGCAATTTTTATGGTAAATTCTTAGTTTCTGTTCATCTGAAAATGTCTGTTTCATCCTCATTCTTAGATAATTCATATAGAAGAGTAGTCTGCATCAAAGTTTTCTGGAATGACATTAATGATCCAGCATTTGAGAGCTGAAAGCTGAAAGAAAGTGGTAAGGTGAGCAGTATACGGATTTTTGTATAGCATTTATCAGATGAATGTCTGAAATATCTTTTAAACACATTTTTTGAAAACTAGATTCTTACAGTGATCTTCCTCTTGCCTATATGGACTATTTTACGACCCCCCCTTCTCTTTTAACAAGGAAATGGAATAAATACCCTTAGTTCTGTACTTCCTCATCCCCGTTACTCTCCTGCTTCCACCCAGCATCGTGTTATCTGCCATCTGGGACTTGGGATGTGCTGCTTCCTTTGCTTTAAAGTTGATTTTTTTTTTTTTTAAACAAGTATTCATTTTTCTACAGTGTTCAAGAAATCCCACCGGTATAATTTTTAGTTTAAAAGAATTTTTTATTAACCAGGATTCTTAATTCCTTCCAACATGTCAGATAACAAATCTTTTTAAGATAACTAAGTCTTTGGTCTGACACATTAATATATAATTGATAATTTAAGTTAATAATAAAAGTTCATTATTTTTTAATCATGTTCCTGAAGAATAAGTCATAAATCTGTGAATAACAGTCCATGAAATTAGCACTTCATTTATACAGAGGAGAAACGGGAACTCCTATCACAGTCAAGGCCAGAGTCCTGCTAAGAGTTGCTAAGTTTTTCATAAACCTGTGTAACACACATCCAGAGCTTGATAACAAAGGTTACAGAATTTTCACGTCTCAACAGCTAAAAGGAGAAGTCTTCTCAAGTAGAGCAAGAGATCGTCACTCTTATTGATCACACACTCTTATTGATCACACACTCTTATGGGGAGGAAAAATAAGCATGTTCCCCCAACATACAAATATTTAATGTGTAACATGTATTGCATGTAATAAAATACACAAGAATATAAAATGAAAAAGGACGAACTGTGGATAAAATATGGCAATATTTTAAAGTATATTAATAGCAAAATAACATTTATTGACAGCACAAAGGTTAAGTGGGTGTGAGTGACAGTAATGTGATCCAATGTAATTTAACTTGATTAACAATTAGAATGCCATCATTTTAAATTCCATAATGTGTCTGAAGAGCAAATACTGCGCCTAGAAGGGCTGTCAACCTGACGACTTTTTACTGCCTGCCAACAGTTTGGCTCCCCCTCAACTCACAACAAAAGCAAATCCTAGACAAGGATTTTGTTCCTTAGGGAGACAACCCCATGAGGCTGCATGAAAGTGGTAAAGTGAGAGGGAAGGATGGAAGGCAAGAGACAGTGAGATAATGAAGAGATGGATCCTACAGGGGCCACCCTGAGAAACACCCTGTTTCTCACTGAGGGGTGAGGAAGAGGGAGTTACCCACCTACCAAACGCTGATCGTCACTGGGTAAGGACTGCCCCACCTGGCCCACATGCTGCCCAGCAGGCTCTGTGTCCAGAAGACAGCTGCAGAAGTCACTGGGTTTGGGGAACTGCAGGTTCCTCAAAGCTGGAGCTGCAGGTACAGACAACTTATGCTACATCTGCCATGCCTGCATTATGAAAATGATCTTTTAAGCCCTTACAAAGCAGCTTTATTAGATAAGTGAACAGTTAATTTTAACTAAGCAGGTTACATTTAAATGAACACACCCTTGAGAACACCCATGTCCATTGTTCTTCCCACTTTTCCTACAGGATACCTCAAAAATTGAAGTGGCACAAGACAACCTGATATACAGGTTGAACGAGTGACAGGGTCAATCTGAATATCAAATATTGATATGACTTAATCCTTTCTTAGATTAGAATCTATGAACCAAGGTTCTAAATTTCTCTTGTTCCTTCACCGCAGGCTACCTCGTGTGCCCCTGGAGGTGCATGCACCCCTTTCTGGCCATTAATGGACCAAGAGATATAAAGCCTTGTCCAGCTCGCAGCTGGCAACATTTCGATTCATTTCGGGGTATGTCTGACCTATTCTAAATGGGTAAGAAAACACAAGTAACGTGCAGTTATACTATGGTTTTAGCATTTGCCTCTTACTTAACAAAGGCAGGAGGAGAAAGGGGTAACAGGACCAGATGGCTGGATGCCATCATGGACTCGAAGGACACAAGTTTGAGCAAACTCTGGGAGATGATGAAGGACAGGGAAGCCTGGTATGCTGCAGTCCACGGGGTCACAAAGAGTTGAACATGGCAGTGACTCAACAACAACAAACAAGTTACTTAACAAGAAAGATGAATTTCAACCTTCACAGAATTCTCTGAATGGGTATCTCATTTCCCCATGATTCAACAGTTATACAGAAACCCAACCACAATGCAGCTGCATCCTGGGATTCAGTATGACAGATCAGAATGCTCTGACTTCCCGCAGTCTTGGGTGTGAATGGCAGATTGGGTAGGCTCCCTCCCTTTACAGAAATAACAGCTCCATAGAAACATTTTCCAAGTTCACAGTTTCTTAAAGGAGTTACATATGAAAAATCAGAAAGGCGTTTCAACTTTCCTAAACAAGTATTTAACTGAGTTCCAGAAATGTGACACAAAGTTAGAAAACTCCATTTTATTTGGACTGAAATGTCTATTTTATTTATTTAGTTTTAAAACAACTTAATGTAGTTTAACTATTATTATTATCACTCTGAATAACCTTCAACAACCCAGGAACAGAACAGTCTAAGGTTCCAGTTTAAGAAATCCATTCTGTGTAGAAACGTGGTTATGTTAGATTCCCTTAGAGTTTAGTTTCAATTAGCAATAATCGTGCCTCGGATAAACCTCATTGGCTATGATACTGCCACTGAGCAAAGTTTAGTTTAAAATTTTAGAATCAAATCATTTTAGCCTATTAACCTTTTTAAAACTTGCATAAGATCTGACAAAAGACTGTTTTATGATACACATCAACAAAACTCAACACCACTTTCTCCAATAGTAAAAAAGTGTTTTTTTAAATTGTTACTTTTTAAATGACGTGAAACTAAAGAAAACTGGTTGCCAGCTTTAGAATCATTTTGTTTGGAGAAAAGTATTCTGTGCTTCACCACCTGCTGCCACGCCTTACAGAGATAGGGTCTATAGTCTACATCCACATCACTTAGGCGATTAAAGGCACAGGAAGGCCCTTCCTCCGGGTGTGAGGTTTTCTGCATTATACTTTGTGTTGTTGCAAAGAGAACCAACCGATACTCGTTTACAAGCTTCTCTAAGAGTTGAGAACACTTCTTCAGAGTAGACTCCTGTAAGTTAACACTTTCTCCTCCGTTGATGCGGTCTATCCAATAAAAAGCTGACAGGCTATCCAAAATCAAAAGGCAGACAGAGGGATGACTACAGAGCATGGTTTCCAGCGAGCACAGGGTGAGGAGTAACTGGGTGCTACTACTGCAATATACCAAAAACAATCGCCCAAGGCAGCGTTTTATTATTTCTTCAGAGCTTTGGGATAGTCTATGCTCAAGGACTGTAACAAGCCGGAGCATATCAAAGTGGTAATCTGTATCAATAAACACGACTTCTACTTCCAGTCCACCTTCTGATTTTGGAAGTATACATCGTGCTGTTAAATGATAAAGCATTTCTGTCTTTCCTGTTCCTTCTGGACCATGAAATTCAAGAATATCACCTGTGTAAAATTTAAAAATGTCAGTCAAAATGCAGCAGCACAATAATGACAGGCTACAAAATAAAGTCTGCAAAAATGTTTTTTATAAAAACATTTATGGAAATGTTTCTCTTTTGAAAGTAAATCTAAACCCATTTGCCAAAAGGAATTCGTATATGCAAACACAAATAAATAAATTAAACATAAACCATTACATTTCACCTCTGAAAAAGGTGTTGGCTGTTAATTAGCACCAAGAAAGTTTGACAAACAAAATGAGAAGGTTGAAATGGGCCTATGGGCATCTCCTGGAGGGGGGTCCTCATACATTCACAAGTGCTCTTACAGTACTGTGAATAAAGCGCCTGAGACCAAGCGTCTTTTAAAAAGGCACTGACTACTGGGGCACAGCATTTCTGGTCGTTAATTGCCCAATATCTGGTTTCTCCTTTCTCTTTAAGTGTAAAACCCCACTTTGGAGGGAAAAGCAATGTGCCCAGCTTAAAAGTGATTCTCCCAGTCTTCCTTGCAAAGAGGGGCCACCAGGTACCACATTTGTAGCCACAGATGGACGTCTGCTGGGGCTTCCCAGTTGTGCTGTCCTGACACGGGCGCCACTTCTGCTCTGTCACTCTCTTCTCGGAGGGGACAGCTGTCTGGAAACAGCAAGGACGACAGGTACACACTGCAAGGGGAGGCCCCAAAGAGGATGGAGCAGGAAGACTGCAGGTGCCCAGGCCATGGATGAAAATACAGAACCCTGCACACCAGCCATGCCCTGCTTGCCTCCACACCAACACGAGGAACCTAAGTCATGAGGCTGGACTTGTTACTTGCAGCTGAGACACTAACTAGGGCTTCCCAAAGTGGCTGGCATTCTGGGTGGAAGGCTCTTGACTGTGCAGTGTGGCACACACAGGCAGGAGGGCACACAGGCCTCAGGCCCTGAGTGCCAACTGCATCCCCAGGGGAGACACCCTGCATGTCTCTACACTGCCTTTAGCTGCTCTGTGCTGTGTGAATACCGCTGGACACTGTTTCGCTGAAATGACACCTGCATAGTGAGTTATTTTCTGAGCATTATAAGTCAGGGGCAACTACTCCGAAGACTCAAATCTCTTTCTCTGCCAGTTCAAGTAACTCTCGTTTACTGAGGACAGCACAAATAAAACACCTAGGGAAACAGTCCTGCCACCAGACTTTTTCAAATCCACTCAAAACAGGGGCTTTCCAGTTCTTGTTTATTTGCCATTCACTTTATGGCCGAACTGTACAACTGGAAACACCATGTTAAAAAAGCAGGCTCCTAGGCTCTGAACCAACTATAAGGTCTGTCTGAGAGTCCAGTTACTTTATTTCCTGTTATTACTAACAAACCATGGTATGTTGGAACACTCACAAATAATCTCTAAGAAATCTAGCAATCTGCTACCATACCATATTTAAGTAGTATAAAACTTCAGCCAATTTTCACTATAATCTTATATACAATTTGCAATTCAAATTTTTAATTAAAAAGATTCCCCCCGCCCCCATTCCCAAGATTTCAGCTTCAGGGAGTAAAATTATCTTCACATGAACAATTGTTCATGGATGCTCAAATAGTGACTAAAATTATATTCAGTTATATTCAACCCAGAAGTTCAGGTTACTGCCTTCTACCATATAGCTAAGGAAGAACCAAGTGGAAGTCCTCCCCATGCCTCCAAATAAAACTCTTTTATCGCCTTATATTACAGAAAGAGAATTAACTACATCACTAGATGAAGGAACATTAACATTGAGCCAGTATTAACAATAGGGAAGGAAAGCTGAAAACACAGCTCAGCAAGGTTCATGGGAAAGTGGCTGTGAGGATGCAACGGGCCACGCAGAGGCGCACTGGGGAGACAAACAAGCAGACCACACACATGCGTCTCTCTGTTTCCTAGGAAGTCGGCCCACGAGGCTGAGGAGCAGCCATCAACGCTTCCACAGGGCTTTCCAACTGAAAACGGGAATCCTAATAACAACACTCAGAGGTAGGAAAAGGAAAATTTACCACCAATCATCATTACATTTAGATGCTATGTCATTTCTGACGATTTACTTGATAATTTTCTCGTTCACTACTTTAAGGTAGGGACTTGAATAACTCTATCCTTAGTGCAAAGTACAGTATCTTTTGAATGCATTTCATCGGATTCTTTTCTTCTTAAGAACGCCTTGAAAGAAATCTAAAAAATGAAAATGTAAGTTCTCATTCCGTGCAGAAAGTCAATTTTGGAACATGGCATTCTGAAAGGGAGCAGCTGGGGTGGGAAGGCGCAGGTGGGGTGTGGTTTTGGTTAGCAGAGTGGGCAGGTGTGAAGGCTGCTGACCAAGGCATGGAATGAGGGGCCAACACCAGAGATAAGCCAGGACAGGCACCAACATCCAGGGCTGGGTCAGCCGCTGCCAGCTGCCCCTGGGCCCAAGTGTGCTGACGCTACATTTCTCTCAAGTCTTCAGCCTCCTTCACTAACTCAGAAGGTAAGGGGAAACCTAGCAAAGTGACTTAAAAGTTCTCAAAGACAGGCTTGGAAGTACTGCGTAAAGAAAAAAAAAACAAAACAGAGTAGAGATTTTTAATTCACATATCACGTATTCTAATAAGAATTTAGCTTTCAAAATGGTATGTTAAGATGTATCTCTAGGTGTCACAAATAAATATATCCTACGGCCACTAGGATTCAAGACTCATGACAGTAATGAGAGGTTGAAGAGAACAACTCAGGAATAAGCTACACAGAAACGGAGAACAGAAAACTCTTCAGTGGGGTGGGAATGGACCTAAAACTAAGACAGAGGGCCAAAACTCAGTTCTCAGCATACAATCACAGATAGAGAAGTAAGCACGAAGGCAGTTAAGACAGAAATTTAATAGAAATAGTACTAAATATTAGCAAATGCAGCAGAAAAGTTCTAAAAATTAAAAAATGGCAGGGGAGAGGTAAGGAACAGATCTCCAAACTGTCCTGGATAGTAACCTGAGAGCATAAATGTACAGTCTGTAAAAGCACCTTTGACAGAAACATTATTTTATGAACCAAACTTTAAAAACAGACACACTCAGTCTGAAACAGCACCGCAGGGAGCAGTCACTGCCTTTAGGTAAGAGCAAGGATGGGAATCAGCCTGGAGGGAGGGAGGCATACACGAGGAACCAGAACAATAACAATGGTTCAGGTTCATTTAAAGAGTAAAAATTCAACAGCAATTTCATGTGGCTGGAGAGTCAAATAAAGGTAAGGTAAGAGAAATGTAACATATTCTGAAGGAACAGAGGAGGGACTCCACAGGGAGCTAGAAACCCATGATATTGGTGAGAGGGTAACTGTGAGACCTCTCTGGATTCTGGAGTTCTCAGAATAGAGGGAAAATGAAAACTTTTCTAAGTATTTTCTTGGATAGAGGGGTGGTGCTCAGAAACTTTTTTTCAGTGTAATTCAAAAGAGTAAGGCTTTGAGAGCACTCTCCTACAAGATCTAACGAGGTTTTCCAAACCCACGCATTAACTGAGGAACAGCTGGTGTGGTGTGAACAAAGATTCTTCAGAGCCCTGGTTCAGCATGAATGAAACTGAGGCAAAGTTTAAGGCTGTCTAAGAGACTATTAGGTAGGTAGAAGCACTCTTCCCCTTTTACAGATTAGTAGTAAAGTGGGGGAAAACGGCATTTCTAACAACTGGGTAAGTAAAATCTGCCAACTTGGAAATTAAAGATGAATACTATCATTAACTTCTTGAACTAGATTCTCTACAAATATGTTTGTTTAATGATGAACTGAAATAAATTTCATTGATTTTTATAAACATTTACTACCGAATCATAAGATCAAAAATAATATTCAAACATAATGTCCTTTAGGGAGACATGGTTCTTTTAACTACATCTGAAACACTATCTCCTAAGTTTCTGGGAGCTGTTAAGAGAAGTCTTGCCCTAGTCCAGTCAAAGTACTAAGTATGACAACTGGTAGTTAAAAAAACAAACCAAAAACCAAAAAAAAAAAAAAAAATCACCTCTACAGTTTGACAGTTGACAAGTTAAACTAAATCAGAAAATCTGGATGGTTTGGCCTTGATAGTTACTATCACAAATAGAATGCTGTAAGGGGTTTGGGTAACAGATTGTCAGAGTGAGTTTACGAATCTAAAGAGCCTTCAAAATAAGGAAAAGAAAGAAAAGCCAAAAAATACATCCTCTGGGTACCAACTTACTTCCTTGGTGGTTCAGACAGTAAAGAATCTACCTGCAATGCAGGAGACCTGGGTTTGATTTCTGGATTGGGAAGATCCCATGGAGGAGGGCATGGCAACCCACTCCAGTGTTCTTGCCTGGAGAATCCCATGGCAGAGGAGCCTGACAGGCTACAGTCCGTGGGGTCTCAAAGAATCGGACACGACTGAGCGACTAAGCACTTTCTTTCCTATCGACCTACTGGTCATATAACAAATATGCTGAATTTACAGAGCATTCACTATAGTACTGAAGAGATAATGAGTTTGCATATGGTACTGAATAACTACTATCCAAAAAAACCATTAAAAATGTTTCACAACAGCACTGGAGATGCTTGTAACCCCTCCTTACTACTTGAAAATGAACTTCCCTGTAACACTTTTTGTTAAAGTGCTATTGTTGATAAATAGCCCTTATAATCCAAGTTTTATGTCTGCTGTTGCTCCAATGAGCATTCATCTAACCAGACATTTTTTTCATTTAACTAGTTTTATAGCTCTAAGATCTATCATAATTTTAAGTAAACTTTTTTGTTAGTGACTGAAGATAATGATGTTTTTTAAAGTTTCTATAAACATAACATTCAAATGTATAAGCTGTGCTTCGAATCCATGTTTTAATGTCAGTTCCATTAGGTTCAACGTAATAATATCTTTTCTGATAGAATAAAAGGATAGCTGAATCTTTTGTCTAATATGTTTGATCACAATTTGTCATTTATTATTGACAGTTTAGAATTTTTTTGACTAACACATATGCTCTACAGGAAATACTAAAAGGATCCCTCCAGGACACATGAAAGGATAGCAGTAGAGTGTAACTTAATTCCAAATGAGCAAATCAAGGACCCAGGTAAATTTAACTATATAGGCAAATATAAGAGTTATATGTGTTTTATATTTCTAATTATTTTTTCATCTGATTTAAGAAACAACTCCATTAAGTAATTTTAATGATTTTAACTAAGCAAAATTTTCAGAGTAATGGGCATACACTGTATAAATACTTAATTTATAACAGCAAGAGGAAGGGGACAGGAATGGAGCTATATGATAGCAAAGATTTTTTTTTTTAAAATATAGAAATGAAGACAGTATCTAACCCAAACTAGACTGTTATAAATTAAGATGTTAATTGTAATCCTGAGGGTGATCATGAGGTAACTAACTCAAAAAAAGGTAAAAATAATAACAAAGAATTAAAATGATACACTACAAAATATCTATATAATACAAAGTGAAAGTGTTAGTTGCTCAGTTGGGTCCGACTATTTTTTCTTTACTTTTTTTTGTGTCCAACTCTTTGAGAACCCCATGGATGGCAGCCCGCCAAGTTCCTCTGTCCATGGAATCCTCCAGGCAAGAACATTGGAGTGGGTTGCCATTCCCTTTTCAAGTGATCTTCCTGACCCGGGGATCGAACCCAGATCTCCTGAACTGCAGGCAGATTCTTTACCACATGAGCCACCACTGAAGCCCATTTAACACAAAAGAAGACAGTAAAGGATGAATACAGCAACAAAAAAGACATAAGACATATATAAAACAGACAGCAGAATGGCAGCCATAAACCCTATCCTAACTAATAATAACAAATGGATTAAACAGTCCAAACAAAAGGCAGAGACTGACAAAATGGAATAAAAAAACACGATCCAACTATAGGTTGTCTACAGTGGGCATACTTTACATCCCAAGTCACAAGGTTGATAGTAAAAGGACAGAAGAAGGAATACTATGCAAACATAACCAAGGGAGACCAGAAGTGGCTAGCCTATTATCAGACAAAATATATGTTAAGACAAAACAACTGTTATTAGAGACAAAGGACATTTTTTAAATTGTGGTAAAAGACATAACATAAAATTCACCATCTTAACCATGCAGTTCAGTAGTGTTAAGTATATTCACACAGCTGTGAAGCAGATCTCCAGAACTTATCACCTCACAAAACTGAAAATCTGTACCCATTAAAAAACAATTCTCTTCTCTCCCCAGCCCTTGGAAACCACCATTCCACTTTCTGTTTCTATGTATCTGACTATTTTAGATACCCCATATAATACAGGGGAATCTGGAAATACTTTTCTTTTTGTGACTGGCTTATTTCACTAAGCATGTCCTCAAGAGTCACCCATGCTGTAGCATGTCTCAGAATTTCTTTCCTTTTGAAGGCTGGATATATTCCACACTATGTAGGGACTGCATTTTTTTTTTATCCATTTATTTGTGGATGAGCACTTTGAACAGTGCTGCTATGAACACAGGTATGCAATGCTGTTTTCGGTTCTTTTTGACTGTATGCCCAGAAGTACAGGGGTAGCTCTATTTTTTGCTTTTGGAGGAACCTCCAGCTGTTTCCACGGTGGCTGCTCCGTTTTATGATCCCATCAATAGTGTGCGATGGCACTAGTCGGCTCGCCGCCTCACCAACACTTGGGAGTCTGCTTTGATAGCAGCCATCTTAAAGGGTGTGAGATGACAAAGAGAAACATTTTATAATGATTAATAAGTCAACTCACTGATAAGCTATAATAATGATAGTAAACATACATGTGCCCAACACTACATGAATCCCACAAAAACTGACAGACAGGGAGAAACAGACAATTCACCAATAGCTGGAGACTAAAAGACTAAAATATCCAACTTTCAATAATGGACAGAACAACTAGACAGAAGATCAGCAAGGAAAAGAATACTTGAACAATACTAAAAGCCAACTAGAACTAAGAGACATCAATGAAACACTTGGCCCAACTATAGCAGAATACACATCTTCTCAAGCACACATGGGACATTCTCCAGGATGGACCATATGTTTGGCCAGAAAACACATCTCAATAAATTTAAACAGACTGAAATCACAGAAGTATGTTCTCTGATCAGAAAATAATGAAAATAGAAATCAGCTGCAATAATACCAAAAGGCCTAAATCTTTTTGACCTTGGATTAGGCAATGGCTCTTAGCTATGATACTAAAGACAAGAGCAAGAAAAACTGGTTAATTGGTGGACTTCATCAAAATTAGTAACTTTGTGCCTCAATGGAGAAAAGAAACTACAAAACAGGAGAAAATATCTGCAAATCACATATTTAATAAAGGCTTGTAGCTAGAATATATATAGTACTCTTACACCTCAATAATAAAAAGACAGCCCAATTTTATAAATAGGCAAAAGATTTGATATTTCCCCAAATTACACACACAAATTGCCAAAAAGCACATGCAGAGATGCTTAACACCATTAGCCATTAGGGAAATGTAAATCAAAACCACAATGAGGTATCACTTTATTCTCACTAGGAAGGCTATAATCAAAAAGACAGACAATAACTGTCCGCATGATCTGGGGAAACTGGAACCAGTACACACTTCACTGACGGTGGCAGGTAAAGTGTGGGTTTCCCAGCAGGTGCTTTAGACAACAGCCTGGCAATTTTGCCAAAGGTTAAACACAGAGCTACCATACAACCCTGCAGCTCCTCTCGTAGATAATACCCAAGAAAACTGAAAATATTTCTCCAGAGAAAAACATGTACACAAGATGATCATAGCAGCGTTATTGTTAACAACCAAAAAGCAGAAAGAACCCAAATGGCCATCAACTGATGAATGGATACAACAGAACATGAGTCAATAAAAAGGAACAAACTACTTGATGCGTGCTACAGTATAATAAAACTTGAGAATATGAAGCAAAGTAGACATCGGTGACAAAAGACATATGGGATGGTTCCAATTACATGAAATGTCCAGAAAAGGCACATCATTGAAGCAGAGAGTAGATTAATGGGTGCTTAGAGCTAAGGGATGAAGAGGACTTGAGGAGTGACTTCCAACAGGCATGGGCTTCTTTTGTGGGTGAAGAAAATGCTCCAGAATTAACTGTGCCAATAGATGCATAAGTGCAAACTATACACTTAAGTGGGTGAATTATATCTCTTTAAAGCTATTGCACTGGAAAAGAAATAAAGAAATACACATCTAAGCACACCACCTTCTTTTTTAAGTTTTCCCTAGTGGAGAAGTGTTAATAGAATAAGTGGGTATCACTTTCCCTATTGTAAAAATATTCACAGAACTACCAAGTACATAAGGACTTTCCTGTGATCCTCAAACTTGTAAAGAACAAAAAATAAGTAACAAACTCCCACAAATATTGTGCTGGGATAAAAGAGGTTGACTAAAGTAAACTAGGCTCCATCTCTGCTGGCAGACAACGAAGGCTAAAAAGTGTGCCATCATCATCTCTGTGCCAGTTTTTAATTTCACGTTTAATCTACGTAGGCTCTTGCTAGAAGTGTATGTCTGAATGTGTGTGTGTGGGTGTGTTAGTTGCTCAGTATCCAACTCTTTGCAACCCCATGGCCTGTCGCTCGCCAGGCTCCTCTGTCTATGGAATTCTCCCAGACAAGAATGCTGGAGTGGATTGCCTTTCCCTTCTCCAGGGATCTTACAAATCCAGGGGTCAAACCTGGGTCTCCCACATTACAGGCAGATTCTTTACCATCTGAGCCACCAGGGAAACCCATATATGGATATATGTGGGGGAAAAACTTGTTTTATAAAACTTAATTTATGACACTGTATTTTGGCTTGAGACTGTTTTTACCATGCACAGGTGACTCTTCATCAGCAAACAGATGTGGTTCTATTTCTTTTAAGGAACTTCTACCTTCCAGTCGGGCAAGGAGCTTGCAAAAGGGAGGAAAAAAAGAGAGAGAAGGAAAACTCATTATCTAAAAATATAAAATCCAACACACACACACATACACACACACACACAAATCCTACAAATCAACATTTACACAATTTACCAAAAGTATGTAAGAAACTTTTCAGCATTTTGAGGATTTGGAGGAAATTACAAAATAGAAAATATAATTTAGAAGAAAAGTTGTGTTCATTTACCCAGAATATATTTTTTATGTACCAAGTACTCTTGGTATAAAATGAGTCCCTGCCTTCAAAGAAGCTGATAGCATAGTTTGAGACACAGAATCAAACTAACTGCACAGCATTTACCTTCCTTACTTGCTATAATTATCTTTCTCACTATGCCTATCACACTTGTCATACAGGTATCAGCTTTCATCTGTCCATTATATTCCTAGCTCCTTATCTGGTGGAGGGGATGGGAAGGGAAGGGACGATGGAGAAAAACTTTCCCTGAGAAGCTCCAAATACTTGAATCTGTGAACAGGGCACATAAGCAGGCATACCTGGCAGATGCAACATCAGCCAAGATGAAAACATTTTAAACAGCTGTGTGTAGGTAAACTGTAAGGAGACCGACCTGAAATGCCAGAGCTTATGGCACAAAGCAGGCAGGACATAACGAAGTCCTAAAGAACAGAAGTCAGACCGCAAAAGATCTTGGATGTCACCTTTAGGAGTTTGCTCTCTGACTTGTCGATTAGAGCAAGGGGTTTTCAGAAGCAATGAAGACTTCCCTGGTTGTCCAGTGGTTAAGAATCCACCTGCCAATGCAGGAGACACAGGTTCGATACCAGGTCTGGGAAGATCCCACATGCCATGGAGCAACTAAGCTGTTACTGAGTCTGCTTTTGCCTTAAAGCCTGTGCTCTGCAACGAGAGAAGCCCACACACCGCAGTGAAGAGTAGCCCCCGCTCACCACAACCAGAGAAAGTCTAGGGACTGCAACAAAGGCCCAGCACAGCCAAAAATAAATCATAAGTTTAAAAAAAAAGCAATTTACAACAGTTAAGAGTAGACAGCTGGGACTTCAGAACCTGACCCACTAGGTCTCTGGGCCTGAGGTTTCTCATCGGTCAAGTGAAGAAAACAAACAGTATTTCCTTCACAAGACTGCTAAGGATTCAATGTGTTCCAAGAGTACTTGATACCCAGAGGGTGGGGTGAGGGATTGGGGGCAGCTCAACCTCAGTTATTGGTGGGCTGACTATGTCCACATGACAAAGCCCATAACGACTCTGGACACCAAAGCTCAGGTGAGCGTCCTTGGCTGGCACATTGTCCTCGCTGTCACTGGGGAAAGCAAGCACTGTCCACACTCCACCAGGACAGGACAACTGGAAGCTCCCTGTTGGGAATTCTGGATCTTGTCCCACTGTATCCCTTCCCTGGGCTGATTTCAATGTTTCCTTTTGCTGCAGTAATCTGTAAGCATGACTAAGCTTTCAGTGTATTCTGTAAGTCCTTCCAGCAAACCACTAAACCTGAAGGTAGACTTGGGAACCTCCAAACATGCAATTAATGCCTGAATGAGTGAGGGGGTGAGGACATGGAACTCTGCAGATGGTATCTTGGGGACTTCCCCCAACTTCACACACAAAGAAAGCACTTCTGCTGCAAACCGAAACGCAGTGGGTTTTCTCTAGGAAAAGCACCTGTGTGATTATCTGAGATGGATACTTTTTCACAAAACACTTTTATTTGACGAATGACTGACAGACAAATTACGATTACACAAACTTTGGTATCTGGCAGACATTTTATTGAAAATGAAGAAAGTGAGCCTATCACTTTAAGGAAAAGTAACTGACAGTATTTGTTGCCAATGATAAAATGTGAATTTTGGAAAACTTTTTATCTACTACTGTGAGCTTGACAGCATCCCAATACTTAAGGTACTGGTGAAATCACTGGTGATTTTAACAAATGTGATTTTGGGGGGCTAATTATTTAACAAATGTGTGAATACTTGGAAGATCTACATAACTCAGTGAACTACTATTTCCAAATGACCAATCACTGGGTAAAATTCACTCCCAGACAGTTTAAAGTTATGATAAATCAACAGGTTATAACATGTGAAAAGTTTACTGGCATAATTTCATATTCTACAATGCAACTAACTTCACTACTTGTGAAGTTTTGGTATACTATCAAGGAAGAATATCCACAATTGTCTGAAAATATTCCTCCCTTTTCCCAACTCTGTAAGAGCTGAGATGATCTTCACAAACTTTAACCAGAACAACATATAGTAATAGATTAGATACAGAAGGAGAGATGAAAACCCCATTAACTTCACTCCTCACTACATTTTTTGTTTAGGAAAACATATCTATTTTTCATAATAATACTTACACAAATAGGCAATATTAACAACTTATAAAAATCATCGGATGGGATGAAGTATCTTCCAAGCCCAAGTAAAAAATACCCTAAAAATTTGGCATAAACCTGACAATTACATAAATTTAAGTGAATGATGTCCAGATTCGAGGAGTTGAAAGAAGCAAGGTGTAATCAACCTAGAGCTTCAGAAGGAAGCCAAGGTACAAGGAATCCAAGTAAATTCTGCTTGACAGGATAGTTTAATACCTTTAGGGAAGATGACCACGTCAGGCAAACAGAGCTTGGTGATGGCAGCTATTAAGATAATTAAACTATTTCTCTTGATTCTCTAAGCAACCTTTCTGAGCCCAAATTTCCTAATTGGGAAAGAATACAAGGAGGACACATCTCCTAAATGAACAGTTTTGGCCTTTGGTTTGTAAATTAGTATCCGCCAAGTTTTATTATCATAACAATACCTATCTAAAAACAACTACTATTTGTACTTGCAGTGGTATCAGTGGTACATAACTTATACACATTATCTCTTTTAACTGTCACATTAACCCTATTTGTTACTATTCTGTTTTTCAGGTGAGAAAATGAGTCAAGATTTCACGGAGATCTCTGGTGCCCAAAGCCTGGAGCTGTTCCCCTGGGCTACAAAGCCTCAAAGTCTGTATCACTGAGTCGGACAAAAATCTGAGTACAGGGACAAGAGTTTTTGGACTTTCTCAGCTGTGGATCACAATAAACTGTGGAAAATTCTGAAAGAGATGGGAATACCAGACCACCTGACCTGCCTCTTGAGAAACCTATATGCAGGTCAGGAAGCAACAGTTAGAACTGGACATGGAACAACAGACTGGTTCCAAATAGGAAAAGGAGTACGTCAAGGCTGTATANCCACCTCATGTGAAGAGTTGACTCATTGGAAAAGACCCTGATTCTTGGAGGGATTGGGGGCAGGAGGAGAAGGGGACGACAGAGGATGAGATGGCTGGATGGCATCATCGACTCAATGAACATGAGTTTGAGTAAACTCTGGGAGTTGGTGATGGACAGGGAGGCCTGGCATGCTGTGATTCATGGGGTCGCAAAGAGCTGGACACGACTGAGCAACTGAACTGACCTGGCGGCTGAAGGTCAAACCAATCTAAGGTCCTGTCTAAACAATTACCTGGTCTCTCGCAAACATCTCTCCTAATACACCCTAACATCACAAGGATCCCCAAATGTTTTCTTTCAACAGCAGAATCAACACTGGAGCAACACTACGAAGGTGGTAATAATTATACAAATATTCACTGGTAAATATTCCAGTTGAATATTTACCAGTAAATATTCCAGTGAATAAGTTGCTGGGCATACATAGATAAAACAGACACAGTTCCTATCCTCAAAGAATTGAATGGGGCAGAGTCAAAGGTTAAAGAATTCAAGAAAGTATTGTAGGTGCTGTAACAGAAATGACATGGGGCTCTGTGAAGGCACAGAAGGGACAGTAGATCCTAATCTGTGTGAGAGGCTACTTTAATTTTGAAAGATTCAGCATATAGTTCTTTCAGGCACATCCAAAATGTTCATTGATTGAGAAATGTCCTTTCCCTATACTCTCAAATGCTCTACGGCCCAGAGACATTTGAATAAAAACCCTATACCTTCTTGAGGGCCACCTCCTTCCAGGAAGTCATTCTTATGCTTCAGAACATATTACCAGTCTCCCTCATCTGGATGTAAGAGCTTAAAGGAGAAGGTTCTACCTTGGTTCACCACCAATTCCAAAATGCTTACATCTGGCACAAACTTAGTAGCTGCTTGTTAAGATGAAGGTAAACAGGGCACAGGTGGGTACAACTGGGCAAAGGATGGAGTAAAAGGATCCTTAAACTATGCAAATTTTCCTGTTTGGACAATCTATGCAAAGTTCTACAGAAGTCCATGAGTGTTCTTAGTTATCTCTAAAGTTATTAATAGTTATTAACAAGAGTCTGAGTCTGTTTTATAGGCGATCATATACCTTCAAGGTATATATTTATTATATATGCTTATTAAGTACAATATGTATCGTAAAGATGCTTTAAAGCATCATTTTATTTTTATGGAGAGAAGCTTACAAAAGAGCAGGAAGGGGAGCTTAAAGATCAAATTACCAGAAATGAATGCTATTAAGGCAAACATGCATATGTAATTGTCATTTGGATAAAGGCTCATTTCCCCTGACCTTTTGTGATGAAATCTGTTTGCAGATGGACCCAGCAGCAAGGTTTCAAACCAGTTAAGTGTGAAAGTCCATCTACACTCTAAACCAAATATTCACACCCCTGCCCTATAACAGGCTTGGACTTTCATCTACAAACTGAATACAATTCTTGGTAGTTTTCCTGCATACACAATATAAAGAGGAAATTCATTCCAGGCAAATACGTGTAACTATAATAACACAGACAGGGTTTCCCAGGTGAATCAGTGATAAAGAATCCATCAGTCAATGCAGGGGACACAGGTTTGATCCCTGGGTCAGGAAGATCCCCTGGAGAAGAAATGGCAACCCACTCCAGTATTTTTGCCTGGGAAACCCCATGGACTGGTGGGTTACAGTCCACGTGATTGCAAACAGACAGACAGACATGACTTAGTGACTAAACA